CAACCATGGCAATTGCCAGCAGTCCACTAAGACAAAGTAAGAAGTGGTTCCAGTCTTCTCCTCTGTCTGGTGACATGTCATAGAACCCAAGGGAATGGCAAGGAACTGCTACAGAATAGGTTGAGCTTGGATATCAGGAAAAGGTTCTTTGCCAGACGGTGGTCAGGCACTGCGGCTGTCTCCCCAGAGATGTGGTCATGGTGCCAAGCTTGCTGGAGTTCAAGAAACATCTGGATAGTGCTCTTAGATGTATGGTTTGATTTTTGGGTGGTCCTGTGTGGAGACAGAGGTTGGACATGATGATGCTAATGGGTCCCTTCCAACACAGAATATTCTATGATTCTGTGAAAGGCTAAGCCTTGTGGTTTTCAGTGCTTTACTGAACACATCTCATCTTCCAACCCGAAATCATGCACAGATGGACTATAAGGACATTTTAAATTGGTTTTTAAATAAGATTTGAGACTGTCTTCCAGTTCAGCCAAGCCAGGTACTTCTCCAGCATGCTGCACTTCTAGAAATGACCAAAGTGTCTATGTGTGTGCGTTATGTACTGCAGCTAAATCTCACGTACTTTTGCACAGATGGCTTGGCCCACTGTGCTTGTTCTGACACTATTCAGGGAATGCTTTGCATGTGTGCTGTTCACGTGTTCTAAACTTTGCAGTAAATTCATTGCCTCTGTTCATGTCTCCTTTTGCTCCCCCCAACACTTTGTATTTGTCATGAATGAAGAACACATTTCTGTATCTGAAATTTCCTGGGAACGTGGGATTTGCTGTGCACAAAGCAAGCAGTACATGCACGTATACTTCTGATGGGGAATTATGGACAGAAGGACATGAGTACAGACAGGGTCTTCTCCTTCTGCTGTGGTGCCTTGTAAATCTGAGACCTTCTTGCTCATCACATTGTCTGAAAATCACCCTTTCATCTTCCAAATTTTCCAATAAGTTCAGTCTTCTTGGTTTTGCTTTTAGCAATTCAGGTTGCTAAGTGATGGCAACACAGTTATCTGTTGCCCAGCTACTTAGAGGCAATAGAAGGCTCTGGCTAGCTGACTCCCTAGCAAGTGAGCTTGAAGAAATTAATATTCTTTGTTTCATATATTTAGGAGTAGCAATAGGATCCTGCAATCAAAAATTTCTTTAATTACTAGTTACAGGAACAGTTTGATAAATCCAGAAATATGTTGGATATTCACGGGTAATGTTTTTTTTTTTCTCAGAAATGAGCTTTGATTTCTGAATCAAACTGACGAGGCAAAGCGATAAATGGAATAGATAATTTTGTTTGCTGCTAATAATTTATCAGCTCTAATCAGGGTGAAACATATCCATTAAAATGTATGCGGAAATGCAATGATAGTATTAGGAGTGCCTCACTATTGTTAATTCATTCAGCACTCAGTGTAATAGCACTAATCATAATTAACTCCTCTAGTATTAATATGGTTGTCATACAATATGTACAGTATTTGCATGAGAATTCCACTCTAGATTCTCATTAATTAAAACACCATAAAAATGTCAGTGCTTTAATTTGCCTTATGTTAAATACTAAAAGGCTTCCAATTTTTTCCTCTTAGAATTTATCAAAATCCTGCTGCTACATTAATTTTAGCCGGAAATAATAGTTTGTAACCACCTATTTATCAACTTATTACTTTAATATTTAAAGCTCTTTCATTTTTCAGGGGATTTGCATTTGCTAATGGACAGAGAAGGAACGTTAGCTTAGTGTAGTAATATCTGAGGTTTTATTAAGCCAAATGTCATCAATTTTCTGAATAGTTTTTGCTACTGTTCTTCACAAAATGCCTACTTTCAGAGCTTCCTCCACCGGGGACAGGGGCTCCCTGAGGGACCAACAGTCATGGATGCTTCCCAGAGTCCCTCAGGGTCCCACCACCCCAGCCAAAGGTAGACTACCAGGGGCACTGGGACACAGCAGAAGCAGAAGTACTAACATGGCTGAGTGAGTTGTGGAAGTTTCAGTTAAAAACAGTGCTGTGTGCCTGAGATCTCCCAGCAGTGTTGTCAGAGCCACCAGAAACAAGGGGCAGCCCTGGCTGAACTGTCCTCAGGTTGGTCCTGATCTCTGGCAGCCCGCCCTGCAGGAAGAAATACGGTCTGAGGCCTTTACCCAGGCATTTTTGAAAGTGAAGTAAAAAGGCAACTGGGTGTTGTATCAGTGGCTTTAGTGCTCTATGCAGCTACACCTCTGCAGAAAGTTATTATGAGCTCTCTGAAGGTCTTTTCACTGCCCCCTGGCTTCTCCCAGGCCTCCATATTGCTATATAGCTTTGATGAAGTTGGCTTTCTGTTGGCTTATGGAAATCTATAATCAGAGCAACAACTCTGAGAATTTCATTAGTCCTTGGTAGGAAAAACTGGTGGCTAGAAGATGAAAATGATGCTATTCACAAGTTACATACGCTTTGGATACGTTCACAGCAGCTTGGAGAAGGAATGGTTGTTTGCTTTTTGTGTTCACATCAGTGTCCATCAGACCTTCTGATCAGCTATGAACAGTCTATGGGACTGACATAATGTACTTCTCAGAAAGTCTTCTAGGTGTAGAAAGAAGCTCTGATTCAGCTCTTGTCCACAGGAGTTTTGCTGTTATATTGAATGAAGCATGATGTTACTCACTGCCTTTGGCAATCGCAACATGAGCAAAGGATACATGGGATGAAGTAGTCCGTGAGTAGTAGCACTTTGGTATCTAAAGAGTAAATCTATATTGTGCATTGCCTCGCTTCTAAGAAACATTGAGCCTTAGCCAGCTGGTGGCTTGCCCTCTTACAGGGGTCACATTTAGTTTCCTTGTTCTTGTATTTCTAGCTCTTTGACAGCTGAAGAAGACAGAGGTTTCCTGGAAGGTGACTAAGAGATGCAAAGTGTCCTTGTGTCTTAATGTCATCTTTGGTGGCATTAAGATTCATAATGTGATTCCCTCTCAATAGTAATTTAGTTTATTCTGCTCACTGCACAGAGCCCTTAACTGTCGGAAATCCCAAGTTAGATGGTGTGACTGTGGTGATAAAACAATGATCTTGCTGGTATACGTAGGTAAGGCTGTGCAAGCATGATCCTAGTATGACACATCTGAAAATTAGTTTGTGGGCTGCTAAAGGAGTTGAAGTGCTAAGAGTCAATGTTAGTTCATACAGTTCAAGTCTGTGACAAGGATATCTTGTTATTCAAGTCTTTAAAAAGTCATTAGTAGAATCTTAATTCCTCAGTCCAAATGCAAGAGTTAAACAAATCTCAGGGTGTAGCAGAAATGCTAAGTTACGGCATGAACCAGTGTTTGAGCACCTGGTGGGAAGGCAGGGCCAACCCCGGATAGCTTAGGCACATTCAATGCATCTGAATGACCAGAGGGGGTGGAGCTGGGATCCACCCCTTCCCAGACCTCATTTGAGGGTTGGCAGTGGAGGCAAGGGTATATCTTGTTGGAGATCCATGTGCACTTGAGGTCTTCTGAAGATAAGCAAATTCTTTCCTTTGTTTCTGTGGCTGTTGCATTTGAGCGTATCCTCATTTGCTAGGACCTTGCTACTCTGCTGCTTTTGCTGCATTTTCCATTGTGTTATGCGAGGATTTTTTTACTTGTTTTTAATTCTTGTTACATTTTAGTTTTTCAGAATATGTTCTGCCACTCAGATATAAAAGCTGGATAACTTGGTTTCCAAGTTATCTAGGGAATCCTGAGGCTGAAAGTAAAGCATTGAACTGCCTGTATTCACATAGTAGGCTGCTTCAGGGCGAGACTATAGTATAAAGTTCAGAGTGAGATGTTTAAACCTGATGTGGTAAAGATGCAAGATGCATCTTTCACAGCTGGTGTTGTACCTTGAGTGACTTGAGGGACTGGCATGCAGTACCTGGATGGTGCTGGTAATGTTGGTCCAGGAGTCTAGCTCTATACAGTTCTTGAAGAGCTACTTCTCTATACTTTCCTAAATGAAATGTCCTGTTACACTGTTTTAATAGATGTGACAATTATTGCTGTAGAAGCACATAAACGACATGAAATCTAGAAGCTCTTTATTTTCAGGATCTGCAAACCAGCACAGGGTTAATTAAAATTCATGTTCTTTTTTTTTTTATTTTTTATTTTCATGCTGCCTCATTTATATTCAGAGCATGTCCTAGGCAGATTTATTTTGATAGATTGTTATCCACAATAAATTGAAATACCTTTCACAGTGCTTCCTGTAAGATAAGAAAAAATTACTCCAGTTATATTCGTAAGTCCTAGGTGAATATGCCAGTAGATTGATTTGTGCTGTAGGTTTCCACCTTAATTTAAGCAAGCTGAAATGAGCCTGAAGCTTAATCGTTTTTATCAGCTCTTTAAGAAAATATTGGAAATTATTAATTGATCATGTATATTCAAATATTTATACAGCAGTAAAATAATCATTCTTATCACCAATACACACTGTGGTCCAACATCTATCCATCAGTTCAGGCATTTGCTATTCTCTTTGTTTTCTTTTCCCACAGGGCAGTTTGTGGCATGATTATAGTATGACTGTGGTATAGTATTATACAAAGAATACTGTTTTGATGCCGATGCTATTAAAGTAGCTCTCTATTTGTGTTGACACTTGTATCAGACCAAAGGGCTGAATAAATGGCAGGTCCCAGAAAAAGGTCCCAAATCTTGTACAATGATACGTGAAAAAGAGATCTAATGGATCTTGTCCAAGAGAGATATATCTTTCTGAATATAGAGAAATAAATAGGAGAAAATCTTAGAATCATAGCATCCTTAGAGTTGGAAGGAATCTCTGAAGGCCGTTTGTATGGGAACTGCTGAATCACAGACCGAACCTCTGACTGATCACCTGAGGCAAGCAATGAGTCAGCTACAGGAGCTTACAGGAGGTGAAGGCAATTCACCTGTGCTGCTGGAAGGGGTGGAGCTTGGCTGTGCCTCTCCTGGACCCATTTAAGAGCTGACTACCAGGAGGACAGGATCTCTTCTGGAGATCCTTCCTCTGGAGTTCTGTAGCGAGCCCAGGACAAGGGTAAGCTTTCTATCTATTCTGTTTTTGTTATTATAATTTGTTTGCTAAACTCCCTTGTTTATTTCATAATTATAACATCTTTATATTCATTGATTACACACTGTCTAATCCAATGAGTAGGGACACTACAGCTAGATCAGGTGGCTCAGGGTCTGATCCAGCCTCGCGTTGAAACTCTCCAGGGACAGGGCATCAAGTGCTTCACTGGCAACCTGTTCCATGCCTCACTACCCTCCTTGTAAAATATTTTTTTTTTTGTTGTATGTAACCTAAATCTACCCCTCTTTGAGCTTGAAACAGTTTCTCTTTGTGCTATCGTCATAGGCCCTGCTAAAGAGTCTGGTCTTGATCTCACTTGCTGTGTCTCTACATTATTCCTCTCCAATTAGGCTTTTACTTGTGGTATTTTTCTTTAAGGAGTTAGCAGTTTGCAAGGCAAAAAAAAAAAAAAAAAAAAAAAAAAAGTTAAGTAAAGGGAAAAAAGTGTAGCCAGAACTTAAATATATGTTTAAATATATAGAATCTTTTTGTATGCTCTTAGAGAAGATGCATTTTTGCATGCTTCAGGGAGATTTGGTTTAGGGGGCAACAGAAAATGTGAGAATCCTATCCTATGATTACTTGGTATTGTTGAGGCATAAATATAACCAATCACTGGCATCTTAATTCCAAGCAGAAGTTGATAAAATGTCTTCCCCTAGTGTGAAAAGCTCCTCAGGGACTGATAGCAATCTGATCTGGTTTAGATCACCTAAGATATGAACAGTCCTAGAGGGTCCCTTCTCCCTCTGTAGGCTACCAAAGTGCCCAAACAGCTGTCCCAACATGGAGGTATTTAAGAATCTGATAAGGTGACATGCAACTGGGCCTACATCTGCAAAATGTAAAGATAACTTTTTAAAGACTTGTAAAAGCTTTTAAAGCTTGTGAAGGATAGATCATTCTAGTGGCTGGTGAGCCAGATAAGGAGTCAGGTCTACACGTGGCCAGACCAGGTTCTTCTCCCTTGCTGGGTGAAATTTGAACAACTGTTTCCCTCAGGTCTTCCTTAAAGAACTGCCTCTTCTCAACTCTGTACAACATCCAACAGAGTGGGATTTGAAGCAAGAGGTAAGCTTTTGTATGCTGTCTTAGGAACACTAATAATTTCACGTTCAGAGTTCCTTTTATTTGTGAAAGTGTTGTGTTTTGAAGCTGTCTTCTCTGTGCAACGCGGAGGCAGAGCCATGCAATTTTTACACGCTCTCTTGTCATGAGAAGCTTGTAACACATCAGCTGGAGAAAGCTGAAACACTGGAAGAGTTTGTAAAAGTCCTGACAGAAAATTGATGTATTTAGAATTCTTCCTACTGTTTTTACTGGCAGCCAACTTATGTTCATTTGTGAAAACTCTTTTTTTCTAAATTGGAATAAGGCTAGTGATTGGCACAGATTGGCTGCTTGCTTAAAATCTCTGTCAATGAGGAAGAGGCCCTTTGATATCTTATGCTGAGCAGGGATTTTCCTATTTTGAGTCAGAAGTGTGAATCTTGAAAGCATGGTTTGTATTCAAGAAAATGCTTCTCACGATGTGACACATTTTTAAATTCTGTGCTCTAATGCATTTTGAGTTCCTATCTGCTCAGCTATTGCTGAGAAAACAGGATTTTGCTGCTTCAGAGCTCATATAATGGCGGAAGGGCAAAAGATATCTACTCTGCCTTTTGTGATATCAGTACAACCATAACAAAGCCCAGAAATATACAGTTAATGAAACTTTGTTTTCTCTTCCTTTTTCCTGTGTCCCAGTAATGAAATGATTTTGGCTGCCTAGTGGGTCCCCACTTGTCTATTTGAATTCCACAGAGATCAGATCTGATGGAGTAAATACTTACAGAAAGTTGCATAACTGAGATAATGTATTTCCTTTCTGGTGTTGCTTGCAATTTTTGAAGAGATGGAACCAAGTGTGGTAGGCCTAACTCATTGTTTTTGTATATTTCTTTCCCATTTATAAGCTTTATACAGTCTTTTATGTACTTGTTTCATACTTGTTCTCAAACCTGAAGGTGGGCTTGTGAGAATGATGGTTTATTTCTCTCTCCTATCAGCAGGACTAAAGGAGATATAACATCTGCCCATCAGCATTGTTTATATTCTTATGGTGTCATGAATAAATGGCAAATCTTGCAAGATTTTTTTTTTGCCTTAAAAAATGCTGTGTACTAAAAAAAATTATGGTGTGATATATGTCTTATGTACTGTTCTTGTTGTCAGATTTAAGAGTATTTGTGTCTGTCTGCTTGGACCCACCTGAATACATTTACTTAGCTGAAAAATTGTATGGCCAGTTCTTAGTAAGAGTGATGTTGGTAGATACCATTTGAATATTTCACAACATAGCAATCAAAATAAATTGTGAGCCATTTATCTTTTTGAGTACTTCAAAGCTTGGTTGTCTGTATCCTCACTACCCTTTCTTTTCTGAGATAACCCAACCTTAATGGGGGACTGTATTTTGATGATATTTCTGGTATACTTAAGATCATGAAGTAGGAAGCAGGGTTTTTCAAGCTCCTTTCCGGTATGGTCTGCTTTTATAGGTGTCTTCTGCAAAGCTCTGCATACTACAACCCTACTTTTTATTTTTTTGCTGTGAGAAGTCAGGAATACTGCTGGAGATAGAGACAGAGTTGTGCTAGGATTTGCACCACTGTGTTGTGAAATTCTCCTGCAGTGTTGTCTGTGGAGTTGGCCACCCACATCCAACAGCACATATGAAACAAAAGATTTTTAAGAGAAGGACTGCAGTACTTCTATACAAATAGGGGATCCAAAATCTTGGCTTGAGATCCAAAGTCTTGGAAAATGCAAGCTGAGTAGTGATACTGTAACTATCTATAATGATGTAGGCTGCTCTGAAAGTAAAGCCTCCTCTTTATTTTCGTAATTAGCTATGCATTTTCACCAGCAATGACAAAGAATGTGTATGCAACACTTCAAAAAAATAAATAAAATAAAAAAACTGCACCAGTAGAGGTGACTCCCTGTTTCACAACAACATTTCTAGGAAAATATTGCCCATGGAGTTCCATATCTACCATACCCACCAAATAATCCAGGAGAGTCTTCAAGGCCACGTTGGATGGGGCCCTGGGCTGCCTGGTCTAGTATTAAATGTGGACGTTGGTGGCCATGCCTGTGGCGAGGAGGTTGGAGATTCATGATCCTTGAGGTCCCTTTCGCCTCGGCCATTCTGGGACAGTCCAGCCAAGATTAGCGATGGTCTCCTCCGTTTTCAAACTGGTATGGAGTTTGGTGTTATTGTGCTGCATGAGAAAAGTTGCTGTCTTCTCTGGCCTGACTCTGGAAGTTCAAGCCTTCAGCTTAGTCAGTGTCACAATGCATCAGTTGGAGTTGATGGTTTTTCTGGGTTCCAGGGAAATCATAAGGATCACCCCTTCCCTATCACAAAAGACACTGCAAATCACTTTACCCGCTGAGGCCTGTGTTTTTAACCTCTTTGGTGGAGAGTTCTCATGACACCACTCCACGGACTGCTGTTTTGACTCCAGATCGTGATATTGACATCACGTTTCATCACTGGTAATGACGTGATCCAGGAAACTGTCACCTTCAACATCCTATAAGTTTAATATGTCCTGAAAACCTTGTATATGGCATTCCTTCTCTTCTTGTGTGAGCATTTGTGGGACCCACCTGCTACGATGTTGATGTATTCCAACATTGCCACTGTTGTTTCCAATGCATTGGTGCTGATACTCATTTCTGTATGCAGATCCCTGGTTGTAATCCGAAGATTTGCAAGGATGAACTGCTCAAGACACCCTTTATTTTGTGGTGTGACAGCTGTGCACGTCTGTTCAGAGCATGGCTTGTCTTTCACGTCTCTCACACTGCTGCTGAAACTGGTCATCCACCACCTCACTGTACTTGCATCCACTATTTGGTCTCTATAAATGTTCAGCAAGTGTCAATTAATGTCTGTGGGTGCAATTGTTTCCATGTGGAGGAATTCTCTGGCACCCCTTTGCTTCAGACACGCCTCCATATCAGATGCTATTCTGTCAGACTGTCCCTCTGCCACAGGGCAACAGCATGTAACAGGACACTGATAGAAACCGTCCTCTTATACTGCCTTACCATCAACATCCACCTCTGATGTTGTGGACCAGCGCACTAAAATAGGAGGCATTTTGTTCAGAGCTGTCTTCAGGTAGTTACCTGTGGTATCTGTAAGGGACAGTAAGTCATCATATAGAAAAGGAGGTAAGTCATCCCTTTTCCAGAGCAAGAATGCAGAGGTAAAGTGTAAGATTTTAAATAGTTTGTCATGTAGAAATAAAAAGAAGAGTGCTTTCTCCTTGGATCTGGTTCTATGAGCTAGAGACAACAGCTTGGTCATTTGAAGACCTTCTCTTGGGGAAGTTTAAGAACCTAGATGAAATCCTGATGATACTGAAATTAGAGTTTTTGGCACTGACATCAGTAAGGCTAATATTTTATTCCTTTTACTTTACAACAGTTCTGTGATCATAAATTGCAAGATATGTACTTTTTACTATGGCTGCACCATGAAAGCAGGCCTAGAGAGTTATGTATATACCTTTTGTAAAAAATAAATAAATAAAAAAATATGGTTTCTTGGTTAATATACCACAGGATTTGTTGGTGGGATATGAGCTAAAGGAATAAATTATTAAGAGACTATTGGCGCTGGGATACTGCAATACTGCAAGTGGAAAAATGTGTATAGTTGGAACCAGATGTTAAACTGCATTTTCAAAATTAATATTCCGTGTGTAGGATGGTTATGCAAGCTGAAAGGCTTAAACAAAATGCAAACCTTCCAGTGGAGATGAAGAACTGAGGCCTTAACAACTGAAAACTGGAAACTTCTCTTAGGGAATGCTTTCAAACTGTGGAATGGAGATAAGAGCATTCCTTTTATTCTCTTTTCTTTTATTTTTTTTTCTTTATTATTATTATTATTATTATTATTATTATTATTATTTTCTGTTCAGGCCAAAGACTGGTAGTAATTTATTTATGTGGACTTTGTTATGAAGAGCTGTTTGTGGGAACTTGCAGTACAAGAATTCACTGATATTAACCAAGACAGCACTTCTCTGTAATGTATTTCCTAAAGAAACACGGAACTGAAGTTTTGAAGTATAGGAAGTCACATTTTTTCAGTGTCTTTACTGTGCTTCATACAATATTTTAATGAAACATTAGTGTATTTGTTATCATAGTGCAGAAACCAAAGAACTAGAAAAGTAATTACTGTGTAGCAAACTGTTTAAGTTCAGTTGTTTTGAAACAGAACTAGCTTCTTTCATGGATGGTACCTTTATGAGTTACTAGTTGGGCCCCTGGGTGGTCTACTGCTTGAAACATAGACTTCCTGCATGATGGTGTTTTCGTGTTTGTCTTCTTTCTGTCATTTGTTGTCTAATATTTCCCTTGTTTCCTTTGTTTCTGATTTTTCTTTAATTTCACATTCGTTTCTGTATTTTCATTCCCTACTAGTGTTGCTAACATCTGAGATGTTAGCATCATCATACACACATGCATATGCTGTATGTGAACATTATGGTTATCTCATTCTCTATGCAAAGGGACACAGACACAGAATGAGAGGAAGGAGGATCTAAAATTCCAATTCTTTACTTCAGAAATAAGAATAATTCAAACTAAAATACGTGTTTCAGATCTTTCCCACGTTATCCACTATGGAGCATCACAGAGTGACAGATTGGCTTAGGTTGGAAGGGACCTCAAAGATCATGTAGTTCCAACCCCCCTGCTGTGGGCAGGGCTGTCACCTTCCAGCTCAGGCTGCCCAGGGCCCCATCCACACTGGCCTCAAGCCCCTCCAGGGATGCAGTACCCACAGCTTCTCTGGGCAGCAGTGCCAAGGCCTCACCACTTTCATTGAGAAGAATTTCCTCCTAATGTCTAATTTAAATCTCCCCTCTTTTAGTTTAAAACCATTTCCCATGGCCCGCTCCCTGATAAAGCATAATATAAAACACTTACCACTGCACCAATGCCAATACATATGAATACAAATCCAGCAGTGCCCATTAAAAATAATAATTCCTTTCACAAATTTATGTATTGACTATATATTGCCCTAGGGTCAGCAAATTAATTTTTTTTTTTTTTTTTTTTTTTTTTCTGAAACTTTGAATTTGAAACTTAATTGTTATTTTCTCTGTCCCACATCCAGAGCACCTAAATGAAGCAGTCAGAATATCAAAACTGTGTATCAGTTAGAAGCTCAGTAAGAAAGATACTTTTTTGAAAAGGGAAAGAGTCTTTTTCTCTTAATTAGGATGGCAACTCTCCTTTCCTCAAATGTCAACACCTAACATTGTGAAGAGACCAAAAATAATTGGGCCACTACACAGTAAATAACTGTGCAATATTACAGTTTTACAGAGCAAGAAATACTTTGCTTGTGCTTCACTTGGCTTTTGCTTTATGAGACAATAAAGTCCTGGCAAATAAATGCCACGACCTCATCCCAGGGGAGTGGTGATGCCTCTCTGAAGACTTCTGCAGGGCTTGTTTATTACCTCATAAACTCAAAGCCAAATGAAGTTGTTATAATGTTACTTTGCATATAAATTATGCCTCCCCTGTCTATCTGCAGTTATGCATACTTCTTACTGCCTGTATTTCTTTCCCTTTTTCCTGTTCTCCTTTACAGTTCTAGCTGCAGATGTTTTGCTTGGTGAGACTAGACCCCAAATATATGGGAAATGTCACTACTGCTAACTATACTATACATGTTTACGGGTCAGAACCTGGGCACCAAAATCCTAAGGTGGAAACAGAAATCAGCACGTGCTGCATATACCTTCCGGGATATGAGTTGATATGTTATACCTATATCTGTAAGTTTTCCTCTCAATATGTGTGGGCTAACAAATAGCCTGTGTGGAAAAAAAAGAAATAAAAATGGAGATTCTAAATTAATCAAGTATCTTTAGGGGCTCGGGCTTCAAGTACACTGTGAGATTTGGTAGTACTGAATGTGTGTTCTTCGTTTCTTACAAAGGAAGAAATAGCCGTGGGTGATCACTGAAATGAATGCTAGCCTTACTGCAAAGCTGTCTGTAGGGAAGCTAGAAACCAAGTTGCTGAGGAAACGAAACAGGCCATACAGGAGCAGATGGATTCTCCTGACTGAACAATAAAAAACCACATAGAGCTCTCCCTGTCACTGTTAACACTGTTCAAAAATGCAAGAAATAAGGAAGTAGACATGATTATTCCAGGTAGTTTGCAACTGTAGTGAGATATAATGAGATCATAGGATAATTTAGGCTGGGAGGAGACCTTTGGAGTTCTGTAGTTCAGCACCCTACTCAAGACCAGGTCAGAGCAGGATGCTCAGTTGGGTCTTGAAAATCTTCAAGGATGCATGCTGCACAACCTTGTGAGGCAGCCTGTCCTACTGCCTGGGTGCCAGAATGAAAAGATTTTCCCTATTATCTACTTTGAGCCTCTTTTCTTTCCGTTGTCTCTCATCCTCCTGCCATACATGTCCAGATGTTGTCTCAACTTCAATATCTCAGAGGTACTGAAGGGTCAGTACTGAGAGAAGACACTGAACAGAGGGAAATGCAAGACCATTTCTGATGATGATGATTATTATTTTAACTTCTCAGGGCTGCAAAGCTCTGAAATCTATTGCTACACTGATTTAAAACTATTGGGAATATGTTGTATGGTAACTGTTGAGTTAGAGCCTGATTGTACTGATTGAGCACCTGGGGAAAGGACCTGGTCAGCCCTGGCAGCACAGGTGAAGGCAATTCAGCTGTGTGACTAGAATGGGTGGAGTCTGGCTGCACCTCTCAGACCTCATTTAAGGGCTGAGTGCCACTGGGGAAGGATCTCTTTTTGGAGGTCCCTCCTTGGTGAAGCTTTCCCCTGTGAACCTGAAATCTTCTGATATGGGTGAGTAATCTTCTTCTTTTCTTTTATAGCACTTGTCTATTGTGCCCAACCTTCCATTATCACATCTTTATTATAAAGCCTTTCCTAATATATTGATCTGTCTAGTTGCTACAGTTGTAAAAAAAGAATTCTGTATTGACAACAGAAGGAGGGAGGCAATTTCCTGTTATGTCCTCTATGTGATATAATTCCATTCACGTTTTAGAATGTATGACCTGATGGTGTTATATCCTTTGAAGATTACAAGCGTTTATTTATTCATCTATGCCTGCTTATTCTTAAACTTCTTCTAGTCAATAGACTGTAATTATAATAATGCTATTTATGAGATTTTCATTATGAAGACTCTTACTAATTGTGGAGTATAGGCCTTCGTGTTTTGTTTTGTTAACAAACTCATTGAGAGGAGATGAAATGCAAACACTGTTGTTTGCTTTGTTACTGCTCGGCTCTCCCTGGTCATCTATAATTTCTAATATAGTTACAATTAAGATTCAACACTTATTTTCTGCATAGATGGTTGTGTGTGGTAAATGCCGAAGAAGCGAGTGCTATTTTATAAATGTTACAGGTTCATTTATTTTTTTTTTAATAGTTCTTATGTTGAACTGCTAGTATAATGCAGTGAGGCTTGGAGAAGGATGCTTTGCAGCGGGGCCGTCCTGTCCTAGTTTCCCCACGTTTGCACCAGCTGAGTCTGAGCACTGTGTGTAACAGGTGCATAACCTGCATCCCATTACTCCTTAATTACCTTCATCGTGATTAAATAAACCTGTGTTTGAAAAGGGGCTGGAGGGAGCTTTCTTGAGTAAAGCTTTCTGGATCTGAGTGTAGACTTACAAACCTGTGTGTAAACTTCAGAGAAGCAAAGGCTCAGGATTTGCTGAGATACTTTTGGAGCACCTAAGATGGAGGTATGAACTGTTGAGCTTCA